TTATAAAATAAAAATGGTGATTAACCACCCGCACCTGCCACAGACGGATGCACGCTGTGTGTGGTTAAAACGTTGATGTGTCTATGCAATCTTAGTTAAACATTTATGAATTATACACAAAAATTGTCAAAAATCAATTTTCTGAACGATGATGATGAAAAATTATCGATATGAACCTATTTTACGAATATGTCGCATCCCTAAATGAGTAGCGTCGAAACTACTAGAATGTATTGTATATAACGTCACATAACTAATAAGTAGATTTAAACTTAATTGTAATGAAAATAAGGCCCTTTATAGTTTGCATTGAAGTAATGAAATGTGATATTTACATTAAAATCAAATATATTTAAAATTAACAAAGGTTAATACTCAAAGATGATACGATACACCACCACAAGACTCATCTTTTTTTCTGCTTACTTTTTTGCAGTTGAAAACCGCACAACAAGGCATAATTTCTAATATATTTCGTGTTTCTTAGAGACAACTATGACAACCAATCATGACAACGGATCGAACGATTCTGACAACAAATGTGCCAAAATGTTGTATATCTACTCATCATGTTGGTTAGCGCGTGATGTCTGAGCGGCACTTCCACTGTATTTTCTATTCCGTGATCAGCCCTTTAACTAATAAATAACTTGTTCCTGTTATATCGGAACCGTAATTTGTGTTTATGATTTATCATGTTATAGGAATTCTCAAAAATATTTTTTAGAAACATATGTCCTAATGAAATAGAAATATTTTATTTATTTATTTTACAGTGTAATAACCCGATGACGAAAGAAGCCAAGTTGTCGGCCGCGATGCGTATTGTGCCGGAGTGGAGCGAGTATGACGACGAGATCAAGGCGCTGCAGGCGCGCGTCCGCCGCGGACTGTACCAGGCGGCAGACCATGATCAGGTATAAAACAGACGTAGACTGACACACGTGTTATCGCAGAATATTACAGATAAACCCTTAAATAGGTCTTAATTAGCAACTGCAATAGTTGCTAATTAAGACCTATTTAAGGGTTTTTAATGCACTATATTGCGATTTTCTACTACAATTATGTGTTTTGTATGATTGGGAAACATTTCTTTCGTTCAAAACTACGTTGTTCGTTGTTTAACTAGCTTTCAATGAATGTGACCGTGTAACGTTTCCTTGAGTAATAAATAACTGACACCATTTTTAACAGGAGATCGAGAGTACAGATCACCAAGAGCCTGCAGTGGAGAAACCTTCAAGTAAGTACATAACAATTCCTAATACTTAGTTTAAGATAGTCGTATTTCATTAAGGTATACTAAAAGTGTTTTTTTTGTTTCAGAACACGAGGAGCATTCTGAGTTATGATGAACTAAAGTGTTAGATATTATTAGTTTATTCCAATTTTGTTGAATGTTGAGCTCGAGTGTATGTGTAAGTAGGGAATGCTCACTGTATCCGCTCAGTTCAGCATTAGTTACGGCTGGACAACTTTTATAGTATATCAGGTTTATTCTGTATAAGTATGTATTTTCACAGATTGTAATAAGTAATATGCTTGCATGTACCACTTTTTTTACTCTCTGTAATCCTGCATTGAGTTATTTCAAATTATTTACCTAGAGTCGATATTATTTATCTATGTTACAAAATTATTGTGAACATACTTCTACCAGTTTATGATGCCATATTTCAAAAATGTATAATAAATAAAGCATCAACTCCTCTCACAAACAGACTTGTTTTCTGTTAGAAATTTGCTTAAATAGAAATGTCTTCGTCACTTGTGATAGCATTTCTACGACCAGTTATCAATTAAGTAAAAATGATGTGATTTTTAGTTAATAAGTGAAAGGATTATCTTCCTGTTTAACTGAATACCTATTGTAGCAAAAGTTTATTTTTGTATTTCCAGTACCAAATTTCCAAATTCTATATAGTTTTAGTGATAAACCAACTGTGTTTATATGTAAGGTAAATTATGAAACAGACTCCAGATCTCACAAGTTATTGATTTTGGTTTTTGAACGTCTTTAGATTGGTTGTAACACATTAGACCATATTCCTTTAAACCAATGTTGCTCAGTATATTTAATTGGCAATAAACATTATGCATTGCTAAAATACAATAGTTTTGTAAATAAACCTATGTCACATTTATACTTTACTTTTATTGGTAGTTCCTTTGTCTAAATAGATCGATAGTACAGATATGCCTTCTACATGTATGCTTAGTATTAATAATAGCTCGCCTGCCGAACTCTGAACTGCCTTAAAATTAATTAAAAAAAAATCATTCTTTTCCTTGACACATACTCATCTAATTTAAGGCACAGAGTAGTTTTTATATCATACTAGCGGTCCGCCCCCGCTTCGCACGGGTCCAACTATCTCGCTATCAAAGGGTCACTTTTTCCTAATCTTCCCCTCTACTTTTATAATATTTTCTTTTATAAGAACCTTCTCCTGACAATAACAAACACAACAAAATAAGAATTAGCAAAATTGGTCCAGGCGTTGTTGAGTTATGCGCTTACCAACACATTTTGCGATCCATTTTTATATATAAGATTTCAAGACCAAAATTAACTTAGTTATAGTTGTTTTAAAGTTTTAGCACGACTGATGAACAATTATTTATTTGTATATAAATTCGCACCAGAATGGGATCTTATTCATTATCTTTTCACAATCATACATCATATTACGAATACACTACATTAATATTGTGGAACGAATCGAGGGTTAGGGTTCGTGCATCTGCCACCGTAAGCGCGGATGCGGATCTGCGGTCGGCAAGCAAAGGTAGCTCGCCGCCCGACCAGAACCAGACGCGAGTTAGCGGCGCGTAGTGTTCCGTGCGCACCTCAAAGAGCCAATAGACTGACATGGGCGACACAGATGGGGCCTAACATAGCCAATGCTTACCCGTAGACCCGGGTCTAGCGCGATAAGGTACCGCGACCTCTGCCTGATCAGGAGAAAGAACGGGGGTTTTTAATCAGTAAGAGTCTGCCACTCCCTGTCGCCATACCCTGCGCGAGAGAAGTCATTTGATGTTTTTTTCCTCCAAGTAAAAAGAGTTTGTAAGTGCATCTCTTTATGTTTCATAGGAGTATGAACAATAGAAGTGGCGACAAGTTCATTAGGTTTGATAGCAATGAAACAAAGTTTTATTCTAAGTACGACTTTTATATACAAGAGTTCTTAAACAGCTAAGTAATAAAATTATCATTTGACATGAAACGACTATAGATATTAAATACGACTAAAACTACGAATCATTATAGTTAATTTGACAGAAAGTATCTAAATCTACAAGTAAGTAGGTATGTAAGAGTTTAATAAATACTACAATATGTACAACAATGTGAATAAATGACACTAGGAATAAAATACTTAGGACATTTACCATACGATAAGTTGTGTCTTTTATTTAAAAGATTGAGACACATCTTTACAAGGGAATAGATGTGTGTGCATCAGCACTAAATGGAAAACATTAATATTATTAATACTTAGCTGAATATACAGCGCACATACACATCACTACTCAATACAATTTATTGTCGAAATATTTGAAAGTACATGCTAAGTTAGGTAATACATTTTTTATTACTTCCGATATGTTACAAAATAACAAACAGTCTTAACGATTAAATAAACCCATTTAAAAACGTTTCTAGAGTTCTAAGTACTGTAAAATACTGATAACGTTTCTCGAATATTATTTGAAATCATGATGTTTTAATATTTAGTACACAGTCGTGTATTCTCTATTCTCTATGTCGGATGGGTATTCTCTATTCTCTAGGCTTCAGTAACTTTCTCTAAATATTTTTATTTAAAACAATACAAAGGTAGTATTTTTCTGTAGCTTTATATTAGTAGATAACAAGCATTACTAAAGAAAGTCAGGATATTCAATATTTATTAGTTGCTTATGAAGGTAAGATGACTAGTCAAATATCTACTTATATATTAATTCATGTTTTATGTCTTTGGTTCAAAATATATTTACTGTGTTTACAACTAATCACAGTAAAATAAACAGTCAATAAATCTTAGTTAACTCGTGGAAAAAGAAGTCTACGGGTAAGTTTCTTTGATGACATATTCCAATTAATATACCTGGACATGACATATAACAAAATTAGTTTGGTATGCTTTTATATTTAAGTTAGAATAGAGTAATCAGGACGTAAGTAGATCAGTTGCAGTAGTGTTCTTCGGTGGTGAGGCGGCAGAGCTGGCAGTCGACGCGGCAGCACCAGTGGTACCGGCAGTGGCAGCGCTCCAGGCGGCTCGAGCGCAGCGCGCGTCGCCCGCGTCCGCAGCACAGCCGCCCGCACCCGCCCGCGCCGCTGCCCAGGCTCGCGTTGCATTTCCTGTGCACGGCGGTGGAATACCATTATATACTTTCACGCTACTTTCTGTCACTCGCTGTAGTGGGGTCCGCTTTAAGGAGAGGCTAGACAGACGCCACGGCGCCCTAACCTTCCGCCGTCGGCCTGACGCAGAGTGCTAACCGGACACGGAAGTTTCGGAAGGAACCAGTTCTGGCTTGAATTGGAGGAAACATCCGGTCGTTATTGCGAGGACCACCCGGAGGAAACAGTGTACGAGGGTGAGTTCTGCTTGAACTGAACACTGCCGTGTCTTGAGAGAAGCAATCAGCGGCGGCGTCCTTTGAAGCCCAGCCTTAATACACGCGCCGGCGCAGAGCGAAATGAATTAAGGAGCCGACTCCTCGATTCTCTTCCTCATCTAGTCCTTTGGAGGGAATGATCCTTTTCACGCCGATGTCCAGCCGAGTTTCCGACTACAAGCGCAATGAGTTACCGCGACCCGGGTGGAGCAGGTGAAGGAACGGGGTGGTCTTTTATCAGTAAAAGTTCGACATTCTCTATCGTCCTAACCTGTGTGGGCGCCGGGCGAATCTATGTACCTATCTAAATATGATGATGGAAATTTATTTTTGTTGGATTTATTTCTTGTAGATTTGGAAAGATCTTACCTGCCGTGTGTTCCGAGTGAGCCAGCGGCGGGGTCGGGCTCGCAGTAGTCGGGGCTGGGCGTGACGTAGCGCAGACGGGGGCGGGCGCGGCGCGTGTGTCGGGCGCGCGGCCGCAGCGGGCCGGCGCGCGCCGCCTCGCCCGCCAGCGCCGCGGCCACGCGCGCCAGCGGCGGCAGCGCGCGCCAGCACGTGCGCACCGAGCACGACCCCGACACGCCGTGACACGTGCACTTCGTGCGCATCCCGGCAGACACCGCCTGCACACAAACCAACGTCCGACTCTATATAAGCTCGCACCGTGAAATGCACTTCAGCGTCGGAAGACAGAAAGCTAATTACTGTCACTGGCGGCCAATTGTTTTTGCTCGCTAGCGCCGCTCTGGTGACTCAATTGGTGTAGCAGGATGGGCGGTGTCGAAGGCAGGCATATAGGTATAATTGGGCAATCTACCTGTCTGCTGTTAAAAAAATAATATTTTCATCTGTTTACAATACCTTTCTTCCAAATCGTCCATTTATCAGGTTAGCAGATGCAATAAGCTCCCGCAATCGTTCGAGTCGTGTTCGCAAATCCACTTGAGGATCGAATCTTGGGTCGTCAGCCGCCATACGATATTCGATATTGCGGTATCTGGAGCCTCTGTCGTCATAATCATACCTGATGGAAGAGAAAACGGTTTAGCATAGTGTAATTATCTGTAATTACTTTGCTTAGTTATTTTGCCAAGTTATGCGTTTTGCTGTAGGGAACACTGACGAAGTATGATGACCGTTGTGCAATAACGCTAACCTCGGTCTAGATCTGAACCTTTTCCGTGTAGGCCGGCCTCGTCGCGGGGATCGTGGTAGACGCTTTCGTCCGCGACGCCCTTTCTTCTTGGTTTTCGGTGGAGCACTGGTGTTGGCTGGCGCGGGCTGGTCATCCACTAAGATGACTACCGGTGGCGCTGTGGTTGGTTCTATTGTTGTTGTAGTTATAGTCGTGGTAGGCTGCTCTGTTGTAGTCGTTTCTATTTCCAGGATGTTTTCCACCTTGCCTTCTCGGACGTCTATTTCATGAGCATCCAGAAATTGCTTCGCGAACCTGTAAAATAAATGAAAATAATGTATTTTGTTTATTAGGAATGCTACATTTCGTTATACCTGTACGGTATACAACCGTGGGTATCTACTACATATATAATACATGTTTTATGTGGAAAGTGTGAGGTTGACTAGACCACTTCTTTATTTACTTCAGTAAGCTTGTTACTAATCAGATTCATGTACCTTTCAGCCCATTGAAAATTGTCTCCACATCCGCCCCATTTGAACCTGGCGTGAGGCTCGGAGGGTGTGATCTGCGCCTGCCGCGGAGGGCGAGGCGGCGCTCGCGGCGGTGCTGCGCAGGAGCAGGCTGGTAAAGAGCCGGCCGCGCATGCGCGAGCCACCGACCACGTCAGCGCTGCCGCAGACATTGCGTACACGTATGCTTGCTCGCGAGTGCCTAAAAACATCGAACTCTTAAATGACATGAAAATGAAGGTACGATTACCTACATATAATTTAATTAATTTTTATAAGAGGATTATAATAATATTTATGTGGCTTATCACTAAATACCAACGACTTTAAAAACCATATACATAGGTAGAAATATACCTAGTTACTTAGTTACACCAATACTTAGTTATTCACATATTCGAATTAAGTATATCGTATCTACATTTTTTTAGGATTGTTTTTTAAATGATAAGATAAAAGATACCTGGGGTATAATTTTATGATGCTGTCGCGTCAGAATGTTTGTGTAAGACAGTGACAGCAACAATTTTATTCCTCAGATAACGTTTATTTGAATATTGAAAAATCAGCCCTAAGCCGAGTGAATTCGCAAGTCGATATTTTTTTTTTTTTTACTTTGTCTGAAACCCACATTCTTGCATTATCTGCTTATGAATCCGTTATGTATTAAAAGAAACACAGATGAGTAGGTACTGCAGTATTAATTTGTAGTACTTAGGTATGTTAAATAGATCAGAAACTAGAATTTGTAAAAGAGATTTCTTTCCTGGGGATTACTGTAGATGAGAAGTTGCAATGGGGGCCCCACATCAGGTCTCTAGCAGGACGATTGAGCTCTGCAGCTTATGCTGTCTGGAAGATCCGTCAGCTAACCGACGTAGGCACGGCAAGACTAGTGTACTTTAGCTACCTTCACAGCAACATGTCGTATGGAATTCTGTTGTTGGGACAGGCATCCGACGTTGAGTCTATCTTTATCTTGCAAAAGCGTGCCGTCAGAACTATTATATAACTTAGGTCGTCGAGAATCTCTCAGAGAAAAGTTTAAGGAGATCAACATTCTGACCCTTTTTTTTGTGAGGGGAAAATCATCAGATGACTTCTCCCGCCCAGGACCGGGCGGGAGAAGTCAGACTCTTACTGACTAAAAACCCCCTGTTCCTTCTCCTGCTCTGGGCCGAGGTCGCGGTGCCTCATTGCGCTTACCCCGCAACCCCAGCTGAACATCAACCCTATAGGGCCCCATCTGTGGTGGTCTATTGGCTCTTTGAGCGGAACGCTACGCGCCGTTCGCTCGGGCCTGGTTCTGGTCGGGCAGCGAGCTGCCCTTACTCGCCGACCGCAGACCCGCGCTTACGGTGGCTGGAGATCATCCCTTGATCCCCGACCCCCGTAGTGTCGCCTGTTGCGGCGGCTAAGGCGTGAGGAGGAGGATTGCTCCCACACGCGGGCCGCCGCCCTCTTTGCGAGCATAACTGCTTCATAGAAGGAGGATACGGCGTCCCAGTTCCTCTCGCTCCATGACCTCGACTAAGGCCGGGCGCGAGAGGTCGCCGCCGCCGATCACTTCCCTGAGGACAGGAGGCGGTGCTCAGCCCAGGCAGGGCATACCACCACCGTATGCTCCACCGTATCCTCTAGGTGGTCCTCGCAATGACGACACTCGGGCGTTTCCTCCCGCTGGATCCGAAACAGGAACCTACCAAAGCTGCCGTGCCCGGTAAGGACCTGAACATTCTGACCGTACCGAATCAATTTATTTATGAAAACATTATGTATGTTAGGAGAAACCTATTAGTAAAGGTATCTTGACAAACATGATTATCATACTAGATATAGGAATAGATTGAGTCAGCCTTTATTTAGATTGGCAAAAGTGCATAAGTCATTCCTGGGTTTCTGTATTAAATGTTATAACAAAATCCCAGTTGAAATTCAAAATCTAAATGAAAGCAAATGTAAATTATGTAAAAAGAAACATTTATGTAAAATAGCATTCTACAAACTAAATGATTTTACAAGATAAAAATGCTTGGAGGCTAGCTGGTCCTACTCCACAGGATGTTTAGAGGAATTTTTGATTATAATTATTAAATTGTACTCTATGTTTTTAATTGTTGATGAACTTCTAAGTTTTTGTAAATGTGAGTGTCAGGACACTCACATTTACAAAAACTATATATTAACCTATTATAATTAAGGAAGACTTATAGAATATAGGTACTTATGTAGGCTCGGAGCTGTCATGCTCACTCAGAGGTCTCATTGGCGGTGGCACGGGCACTGGATCGCCCAATTCCCTATAATATGGTTGAGTTGGGCGGTGCTGGTGTACGTGTCATGTTCGTGAACGGGCGCCGCCTATTGGGACTGGTCGGCTGTCTAAATGACAGCCTGGAGATGTTGTCCTTGAGGTTCACTTCTTTTTCGTACTTTTTGCCTAAACACTAGTGTTACATTGTTCTCACATATCGGAACCGACTAAATGATGTAACAAAGAAATGTATTGTAAAACTGATTGAAAAAGAGTAACCATGGAGTTTCTTGCTCGTTCTTCTCCATAGGAATCTACACTTTGGAACGAGCAAATAGCTTCACTAGAGGACAGACGGACAGACTGACACGCTTAATTTTAAAGGTCTTGAAATACTTTTTTCCTTCTATTGCTTGACGTTCAAAAGTGCCTACTGTGGTCTAATTGAAATAAATGATTTTTGACTTTTGACTTTTATAGATATTTTATAAAGAACTTGTAAGCAATTTTTTCTGTCTACCAAACTGTTCTGAAGAATCAGTCACTGGCAGTCAATTCACCCGTTCGTCGATTACGACTTAGTCAGCGCATTTATTAGATTTTACGCACAGTTAGCTTTCTGACTACGTTATGAATATAAGAACTTTCTGACCAATTTGAATAAAAAAATATTATTAAAAAAACAAAATACCCGACTGCACACTAAAAAAAGAGTAAAACAAGCCCAACAATAAAAATTTACTGAATATAATTTATAAATGTTGATGGAAAGCATCGCAGGCGGGGACCAACAGAGGCTTATTTATAGTCATTTCTGTTGTGCACCATTTAGCAGAATTTTCGTTGGTGGCGGTCAAGGTGGTCCCCGCCTGCGATGCTTTCCATCAACATTTATAAATTATATTCAGTAAATTTTTATTGTTGGGCTTGTTTTACTCTTTTTTTAGTGTGCAGTCGGGTATTTTGTTTTTTTAATAATATTTTTTTTATTTATAACTTTTTAGCTGTTTTTATTTAACGAAAATGTTGTAGATGAAGTATCGAAAAAATCGCTATTTAGAGACGACCGTCAACGACGTGTGCCCTTATGCGTGTGCCCGCATTCGGGCTGTATACTCGAGCATATCCCCCTCCGCACCGCGCCGCGCGCCGCAAGCCAGGCCACGCCCTATCTTTTTGCTTGCTAACGCATGAGTTGCTTTGCGTTGACGCAGAATTAACATGTTCCCGTGGGAATTTTGAGAAAAAACGTATCCTATATTAATTACTCCCGTGATTGAAATGAATCTAATGATACCGCATACATATTTTTTTAAAGGGAAATTTAGAAAAAATATTATTATGTCTTTATGCCGTGGGACTTTTAGGATAAAATGTATCCTATGACACTCCCGTAATCAAGACAAATCTAACGATACCTCATACATCAAAATCCATCAAGCCGTTTAGGCTACAGGAGGTCACAAAGGAACAGACATACATACATACTTACATACACTCGAAAAACATTACCCTCCTTCTTTGGCAGTCGGGTAAAAAGAACAGCGGATTTCCTTTTGACAAATTTCATTTCGATTGCTTATAACCAGCTGCCTCCAAGCTTTTGATGTTTAATACAAGTTGAAATGAATGAATTAAGTAGGTATTTATATAGTTAAGTAACACAACCTAACTACCTAATCTATAAATTGTTGTGTACATTGTTAGGTGCTTGTTAAATTTAAAGTCTAGGTACATTTTCAACTGATCTGAGCATCAGTTCATTAGAGTTAGTATTAACATTATTTAAAATGTTGTATTTGTAACTTTTACACAAGTAGCTAGTACCTATAATACCTAGTGATAGGCACTATCCATCTAGAAAATCGTTTTTAATTACAAACGATATCAGTACCGATAAAGCCCGCACGTCCTTAGCTGAGTTAAACAATGGCATCTGACGAGCTTATCACACAGCACATCGGCAGCGCAGACCGCGCGTGAGTGCACAGCTCACGGTTATCGCTGAATGACTTCCCTCCCCCTCCCACCGGCACCCTCACCACCCCGCGCCCTGCACGCTTGATTCATGCGTGTAATTAAATCTTTTGTCCGTCTCGCTGTACCTCGAGCTCGACCCTAAACCCTCACCGCTGATCGCATTGTAAGACGAGCTTTCGATCGTCTTTCTAATTTAACAGACTAAAGATAACTTTCATGGATCTCACAAGAAAAGCATTATCTCATCAATAAGGATTCGTAAGATTGATTTATATTCTTTACTTTGTCCGCTTTTCCGACAAAACTGCTGCCGAGCGCTAAAATATTTTGTTTATTTGTTGAAGTTCTTGGTTGTCGATAGTTTCAGCTTGATTCAACATGATGCTCGGTCGCAATCAATTAAGTACCACGCATTACATTCACAAAACATGATAGTAGGTACCTACATGATATTTCATAATGATTTTAACTGATTCTATCAACAACATTTCATTACCAAACCCCATCATTCATTCCGCCCTGGAAAAAGCAATCAGTGAGTTGCTTACAGAATACTTACATAGCCTATGCTAGTGGCATTAAGGTTTCCTTGCCATCGCACTAAGCACTTAGGTATCGATCTTCCATTGCGAAAGAGAAATATTGTTAAGAACAACTAAATATTCACAAGTGTTTCATAGTAAAGCAAAAACGCCTGAATTGACATGCGCTTATATTTTTACCGTTCTCATCAAATTAATAAATTAAACTGCGCAACCTTATCGGTGCTTTTACCTGCCTTGTTTTACACAGTAACTAGGTACATTGGTACCTTGGCTACTTAAATAATATAATAACTATTTAAAAGTAGGTACTGAATTTGTGAATTTGTGACATAATATGTAAAAATATAACTCAATTATGACGTTAAAATTTTCCTAGGATTATTAGATACCTACTCAGAAAAGTCAAAAGTATCCCTATGGCGACGCAATTGATAGGAAGTTAGCGAACTTGCGTGCGATACTGCGAATGTACCGATATATTTTCGCATGTAAAGTAAAACGTCACGACATCCAGCTCATAACAAAATCAAATATTTGTGATGCCGAAGCCGTGACACCGGCGATAGGCACCACCTGTCACGTCGAGCATGGATGACGAATGTCGCGGCAACATCCAGTGCCGGGGTTTCAAAGTGATTGACA